CGGTGTGTTCGGCTGCAAACGTTTCGTCACCCTGCTAGGTAACATCGTAAGTGCGCCTCCGGTGAAGTTCACTGGAGGCGCACTTACTATGTTATCTAGCAGGTTGACGAAATGTTTGCAACCAAACCCCACCAACTTGGCGAGCATGTCTACAACCTCATCCAGAACCCGAGCTACAAATCTTCTCAAAAACTTTAATTTACACATTAATTTCTTAACCTACATCAGTTCCAGTGACTATTTCCTGCTTAGTAACACATCAGGTTTAATACATCATTTTGAGTCTACAGCGTCAACACTTTTTCAATCTTTCCTTCCTGGCTGTTACTGGATAATGCTTCCAAAGATGGCAGCTACTCAACATTCCTATAGGACCACTCTTCTTGTTTGAACCTTTATTTTTATGTATTATAATGTAGGGCATTCCGTCAGAACCAGTCTTAGCCAAGAAAGTAAAGGGTAATTGTAATGATCAATCTTTGACAACATTACAGTATGGGGTTGAAACTGGGACTTGCCTGTTTGTGTGATTTAGTACTGTACCAGAGATTGCATTTGTTTATTTGATAAGGTGCCATTTCAAGGGTTATTGCATGGTGTTGGGGTAACATATTGGCATGAATAGAAGATTGACTGGCTAACAGGAAGCAGAGAGTAGAAATGAATGGGTTTTTTTCAAACTGGCAGGATCAACACTTTACAATTTATGCGAATGATCTGGATGAAGGGCCCAACAGTATTGTAGTTAAATTTGCTGATCACAGAAAGATAGGTAGGAAAGTGAGTTGTGAAGAGGGCATAAGGAACCAGAAAGGGATATAGATAGGTGGAGTGAGTGGGCAACGATCTGGCAAATAAAGTGGGACTAGTGTGAAATTATCCATTCTGACAGAAAGAATGAAAAAGAAGCAGATTATCTGAATGGTGAGAGGTTGCAGAGCTCGGAGATGCAGAGAGATCCCTGTGTTCTAGTGCGTGAATTGTAGAAGGTTAGTGTGCAGATGTAGCAAGTAATCAGGAAATCTAATAGAATGTTATGTTTTATTGCGAAGGAAATTGAATGCAAGAGTAGGAGGTTATGCTTCAGTGCATTGGTAAGACCACATCTAAAGTACTGTATACAGGACTGGTCACCGACATTCCCTCCAAGCTGTGCATGACAATCATATACACATCGCAGCATTGTCTTCTGGCTCCAAACCTCAGACATCCACACAGAAGAAAAATGTTTAAAGGAAACACTGCAGGTCACTGCCAATATAGAGGGGTGTTAATGCTCTGGAAATGTTCAGAGAAGGTTTACTAGACTAATACCTGGAATGAGCAAATTGTCTTATGAGTTTAGAAGAGTCTGAGTGATTGAATTTAAATAAATAAGATCCTGAGGGGATTTGACCGGGATTGAATGGAAAGGACATTTCTTGAAATGGGAGAATCCAGAACTAGGGGTCATAGTTTAAAAATAAGGGGTCACCCATTTAAGACAGAGATGAGGAAAAACATTCTGTCGGGGATAACAGTCTTTGGAGTTCCCTTTCTCAAAAGGCAGTGGATACAGAATCTTTAAATACTTTTAAGGCAGAGGTAGACATATTCTTTATTGACAAAGAGATGGAAGATGTTGAGGTATGCAGAATGTAGAGTTGAGGTTAAAATCAGGTTAGCCATAATCTTATTGAATGGTGAAGCAGGCTGGAAGAGCCAAGTGGCTACTCTTGTTCCTTGTTCATACATTTTTAGTACGAAGGAGAAGCAAAAAATTGGACACACAAGGTTTGCCAGGCCTCATTGGCAGAACATAAACAGACAAGTGCAATACACAGATCTGAATAGGAAAACACTAGTTCAGTATAAACAAATAATAGGAACAATCTCAAAATTCAGGTGCTAAAGTGCTTTGGTGAGCTCATCAAAACTTATGACTGTAAACAGAAAAGGAGAGCAGCACAAACAATTTAGAGCCTGGAGCTGGCTCCCAGTGAAGGAACCTGTTGTACAGACAGAAGCAGCCTGAGAAATCAAAGCAGCATTAACACATCAATTTCACTATCTGCATGCTGAAAAATTATTTTAACCTGCTTCCTCCCTGCAAAATGACCCACTGTCGATTGATCTCCAGAGGTTTGGCAACAATCATAGAACAACAGTCCAAATTAATTTTGAGGGTAGGCCTGAAAAAAGATTTATTTTAAATAAAAAAAGTGCAAATATATGTACTCCCTTCAGGCATTGTTATTGATCCATGAATCTTAAGTCCAATCTCTGGCCTGTGTTAAATTAACTCAACTCAACCAGGACATCAATAAGAACTTTTCAATTCCCTCAGTGCCCTTAGTTTAGAGGAGATGGGGAACTCAATCAAGGTTTCTGATTAATGTTTGGTAATTTCTCCTGTAAATATCGTAGATTTCAATATCAGATGTGATCAGGGCTGAATTTGGCAGTATGTTGCTTCTACCCACATTTACTCATTGGGCATAAACTGAAGAATGGTTGCTTGGCAGGACATTGGATGCAGGTGGCACTTCAGAAACCCAATATAGAATCATAGAATCCCTACAGTGCAGAAAGAGGTCGTTCAGCTCACTGCATCTACACCGACCCTCTGAACAGCATCCCACCCAGACTCACTCCACATGTAGTTTTTACCATGGTTAAGTCACCAAACCTGCACATCCCTGGACACTACAGGCCAATTTTTAGCATGGCCAATCCACCTAACCCGCACATCTTTGGACTGTGGGAGGAAACCGGAGCATCTAAAGGAAACCCAGGCAGACATGGAGAGAATGTGCAATCTCCATACAGACAGTCGCCCAAGGCAGGAACCTAACCCAGGTTGCTGGAGCTGTGAGACAGCAGTGCTAACCACTGTGCTATTGTGCTGCGCCAAGAAGTATACTCAAGAATAAATGCATTTAATGAAAATAAGTCTTTTTGTAAAGATTAAGAAATGAATATTCAAACATGTGCAGCAAGCAAAATTTTTAGACTGATTCCTCATGTTCTGACTAGGAGAGTCCCTCAATCAGTAATTGAAGTTACATGATAAAAATTGGAAGCTGCCTCTGTCTATCCAGAAATATTGATCTAATTATTTATTATTAATTCTAAGATGGCATCAAATCAACATCCATCTGGGAGCTTGTCATTGTGTAATATACAGATGTGAAACTCTGAAGAGAGAAGAAAGTCAAACCCAAGCATTCTCATCCAGTATGAAATATCTACTACCTCCTCACCATAACAATGAGGTACAATCCCATTTCACAAACCTTTTCACAATCTTCAATTCCAGCTCTCAAGGTTAAATACTCTGTGATTGCTGTTTCAATAGATTTTAAAAGTAAGATTAAGTTGTTTGGAGTCTGAAACAGAAAATGCTAGAAACATATTCACATTCTGGTTTTCTGCTGTAGGATGCCACCTGCAACATGAACAATTAATATCCTTTTGTATGCTGACCAACAGTTTTGTTTTTCCATTACCATCTAATTTATGTCAAGGTTTCCAACAGTGTAGCTCAATATCTCCTTCTTAGGGGCAACTCGGAATGGCCTATAAATGCCAGCCATTCCAGCAACATCCATGTCTCCAGAATACTTTCACAAGCTTCAAAATCTCCCTTCCCCCTACTGCATCCCAAAACCAGTCCAGCTTGTCCCCGCCTCCCTAACCTGTTCTTCCTCCCACCTATCCCCTCCTCCCACCTCAAGCTGCACCCCCATCTCCTACCTACTAACCTCATCCCGCCCCCTTGTCCTCCCTGGACTGACCTATCCCCTCCCTAACTCCCCACCTACACTCACCTTTACTGGCTCCATCCCCGCCTCTTCGACCTGTTTGTTTCCTCTCCACCTATCTTCTCCTCTAACCCTCTTCTATCCGCCTCCCACTCTCTCCCTATTTATTTCAGAAACCCCTTCCCCTCCCCCTTTTCTGATGAAGGGTCTAGGCCCGAAGTGTCAGCCTCTCTGCTCCTATGATGCTGCTTGGCCTGCTGTGTTCATCAAGCCCTCTACTTTTAGATTTGATTTTGTTTCTACTCATCTGATTATTGCTTTTATCATGATTTATTCTTTCCATTGCCTCTGGCTAATCTTAGACCTGATCCATAAGAAAAAGGTGTGTTACACATCGGCATCTCCCTGAAGCAAAGTCCATGTAATCAGCACATGGAGACACCGTAGTCAGGGAATTGATATTTCAGCAAATAATTATCTCCTGAGGACACTATTATCAGGGTATACTTAACTCCATAAGGAATACTAATTAATCAGTTTTTCTCCTGAGAACCCAGTCAGTGTATTCATTTCAAAGCATAGATATTTTGTTTCAGAATTGTGTGCCCATTTTTTTTTAAACTCTTTAATTCACTGGCTGATAGCATGGTTGCCACCCTTCACTCAATTTAATTGGCTAACTTCAGAATACCTGCATTTGCAAATCTCTTTGAACATAATTCTACAACAACCACAGCATAGGTTATCAGAATATGCCGTGTATCACAGAGTTACACCCGAATGCTCCTTCCTCCAAGGTGTGTACCACAAGCTGCTCCCTCAATCGCCATGGGTTTAAAGACCAAATAGCTGAGTTATATAGACCGGGAATATTCCACTCCCTTTCTGTGTTGAGTTAGTTGATCTCAGAGATGAAACAGTACCAGTGGAGTTTTGATTGACTTACCAAATAAGGGTTTGGAATGAGGAGAAAACTGTGCTGGCTTACCTAATATTACTACGCTAACATAATAAGATTTCAGTCATATCTTGGTCTCCAGTTTTCAGATTAACTTTGAAGTAAGACATTTGTTTAGTAATATATTTACATGTTTTCTCAATTTCTGAATTAAGTCACTTTATGGAGCTTCGCTGCTGAACACCCACCACAGAATTTTAATCAAAGTCAAAAATATCCTGCCATTGCCGTCCTATCCAAGTCTCTCCTAGCTCAAGGATTAAACCATGCAGCTTTCCCTTTCACATTGATCAGTTTACCTGATTGTAGGAGTTCTGCTTGCCATTAGGTGCTGGGAACCTGCTATGAGTCATGTATTGTGGGTAATCACTCCGATCAGCCATCGGGTAGTATGATCCTCGAGAACCAAACACTTCGAACTTTCCATGACTTCTGCGGCGACACAGGTAGATTATCTACAAAAAGTGTGCAGACAGTTTATGAAATGAAGAACCGATCAGAACCACCAAGCAAACCAAGGATGTGATCATCTGAAAGAAGTTGGCCAGAATCTCATTTATAATTTACAAAATTCCATAATCAATTTTGAAATGTTGGCACAACAACCAAAATAAAAATAAAATCTGCATTCAGATTTCACAAGATCTGCAGACATATCATTGATTGAACTTGGAATTCAATTTATGTTCCTTCAGCCACATCAGTCTTGAGGAGACATCAAATACAGGTACCTTAGTAGCACAGACAAAGCATGCAGTCCAGAAAAAGTGTGCCAACTGTTATATTTTGGATTTCAACTTCATCTACATTGCCACATTCATATTTCATCCTTTTAACATGTTAAACTGGATTTGTTCCTAGTTCAGTTTCCCCTTTGCTCCAGTGAATGAGGCTAAGTAAGCAGAAGAAGAGACCTAAGCTCAGTTTTTGGGGGTGAAGAGGACCAAATCACTCTGGGCCATTTTTGTATGCTCTCTAGGACGTTGATAAGTGGCATTAGCCTGGTAACAAATCTTGTTGCTACAGTACACCTCTTCCCCACCGAGAGAGATATGCAGGGGGGCACTGCAAATCCTCTCATTCAGCAGGTCTTTATAATGAGAAAGGGAGGTAATCTGTGGCCACAGACACAAACAAAAACCATTAGAGACTTACAATGAGAATGATGATGATGATGATCAACAGGAGAATAATGCAGACCAGGACCAGAAGAGCAATGCCCCAGCCAGGGACAGTTGGAGGCTGGGAAGTTGTGGTTGTGCTGGCAACGGGTTTTATCTCATTCACTAAAAAAAATTAAAAAGATACTTTGTGTCTTTTCTCCCACATTTCAATTTCATTCTACAGATAATGAGAAATACAAGAATGAGAAATTACCACTCAGCAATCCACACCCTATTTCAGCAACCCAAATGAGGTTTCATCTTCTTTCTGCCATATAACCTATTCCCTGATAATCGGGATTGAATATTGTCCCTAGTATACACTTCACTGTAGTCCCTATTCCACAAATCATTAGGTCCCTATTTAAAGAAATTATAATCACAGTGTCTGAATTTTATTTTAATTTTAATTGTGCATCTCATTTATTCCTATCATGATTTCTGCATCCTGCACAGTCACAGTGCTATCAAAAAATTAAGGCTACTCAAATATCTTGTCCAACTGACTAACCTTCATAAGGAAGCCTAGTCTATAACCCTTGCTGAGGGGTTAACAATAAAGGAATAAATTCACCTTTCTGCACGTTCATTCTTCAGCCTATCACAAAATTTCTATCACATGCCCAGCTTCAAAGGACCGAGCCTTATAGCAAATAACATTACCTTCTATATCTTTGACCACTAGATTGTTGATTGTATAATTCTTTAAGGCATCATTAAACTGTTTCTCAACTGTGCCCTGGTTTACAGAGGCATCAGAGTTGAAGGTAGATTTAGTTTCAGCGATGACTGACCCGTTCCTTAAAAAGAAAACATAACAATCATTACATATTGATTATGAAACCCAGCTTCTGAGACATTGGACACAATCTTAACAGAAAAGTCACAGCTTTGATTCCTGATCTATGTTGAGACAGTTGATCTGTCAGGGGATAGCAAAAGCACAACAATTAGAATCTTTAGATTGATGGTGACTCAATAGCAGAAGGGCATTGATTGTAGTTATAACACAATCCCTTAACAAAAGTTTGCATCAGAAAACTATACCAAAAGTAGGAAGTCTCATATTCCTTCTGTGGGAATTCTATTTTGAAGAAGGGGTCAAGTGGGAACAGTGGGATTGTCATTGGACTAATTAATCTAGAGACCCAAGAAATGATCTTGGGATCCATGATGGAATTTGAATTGTTAAAAAACATCTGTAATTAAAAGTCTAATGATGACCATGAAACCATTGTCAATTGTCATAAAAACTTATCTGTTGCTCTTATTAGAAGTCAATGCTGCAAGTGCATGGACTTCAGACTGGCTGCACAGCCTAGAGGCAACTAGGATTGTAACTGATGGAAAAAAGTTGAAAACAACACCATCACCACTCCCTTATATTTCTGTCTTACCAGCAGGACAGACCCAGCAAAGGTGGCAGTACAGAGGATTACAGTCAGGAGGAAGTAACACTGGGAGTCCTCAACATTGACTCCGGGCCCCACAAGGTCTCATGACATCACATCCAACATGGACTAGGAAGCCTACCACTGATTACCAACTCTCCAACCAAGCACCCCTGTCAACTGACCTGGAGCACAAGTCTTCTGTACTCCTACTGGAATACTGTAACCATTGGCAAGATATTAGACTGTAACGTTACAGATTAGATTCAATCCTCCATTCAATATCCAAGCAAAAGCAGGTGTCACTGTACAATCAACAAAAAACAAATGGCCTATTACTGCTGCAATTTCACTTACAGAAATTAAATTGAGTGGGATGGTTGGGATATTCTCCAGAGATTGGTGTTGATTCCAGTAACAGATTTTGAGGGGACTAGAAAGATAGGTATAAGTACCTGATGTACATACATATATATGATCTCACCTACTATTTGGTTACTCCCAATCTCTCTTGTGTGGTATGATGTGGCAATTGCAAATTGACTGCCAACATATTGTATGACAGGCTAGCTTTTCCTTTGAACATGAATGTCAAAAGTGCACTGCAGCAATTTGTGAAATCAATATGACAGCTGTGCATCCATACAAGAAGCAAATGACAGATACCTTCTATACAAGGGACAACAATAATCATTCTCCCTGCGGGGAGGGGCATTTAACAGTTCCTGAGTAGTGATAATCCCAAGAGTGTAGATAATCATGGATGCCATCCATGTACAATACAATTCTAACATCTGGAGAGTTTTCCTGAAGTGCACGTGGCAATCATATTCACAGTAGTCCATTCATGTTTGCAGTCATCAGACGGATGGTCAGGTCACTTGACTTTCTTTCCCTTTTTTTTGTAGACTGGATTATTTTCTGCAGCATTTTTAAGGGCTGACAAATGAAAATATTTTTTGAAAAATTGTAAAAGCTGAGACAATATCTTCTCCCCATGCATAGTAACTTACCTTCAAATGGCCACATCTCTTTAAATTTGAGCTTGGAACCAAATCTTCTGCACCTCTTCAAAAAGAACTACTATTACAAGACTAGAGCTTTATTGAGACTTAATTTATTAACTTCAATTATTCAATGTAGCTGACCTCACAAAATTTCCAGTGCAGTCAGTTCTGTGCATGTTTGGATAATTTAACATCTACAATTTCACATTCTTGGTGGCGATTTTGCTGGGACCCATAGATTTGAAACTGTAATGTTATTTTCGTAGTTTGACGCTAAAAAGGACGGGACCTTATGGTTGTTCTTCATCCAACACAGAAAGTGAATGACTTACGTGAAACGTAGAACTTCGGAACCCTCATATGATGAACGGAGGGAGCATGTAGAACAACCGTAAGCTTCGCCCAGCTGCAACAGAAATTTTAGAAAATATTTACGTATGATTTAATGAAAAGAAAATAAATGTCCCCAACAGTTGTTTGTAGCCTGTACTTTTCCACTGCACCAACAACACCAAATATCTGGCTGTCATATAACCCTGTTGTTACCAATAACCATGCCCACTTCCCTACTCGTTTCCAGTACTTCCAAATTCAGCTACCACAATATTCCAATCTCGCTATCAAATGCTAACACGCCCTACTTTGTAGTGCAGAACTTGAGTGCTGTTGGAAGAAGAAACATGGTATTGAAGTTTTTTGTCCTGCTTTCATCAGGCTGGAAGCAAGAGTTTCAAGTTTCAAAGGGGACAACATATTATACTGCATATTGATGCACAGGACCCAGTCCCCTACAAACAGAAAAAAAATCTGTCTAGGAATTGTGGCTTTTTCCATTGAATAAAAACAGAGAGGATAACTCTTCATTGGTGTGTTCTTCATGGCCATTCTCAATAAATCATAGTGACATGCCAAACAATCACTGCCACTTTTTCATATACTTTAAATTGTTGTTCCCTTTGAAATTTAGTATTCTTGCATCTGTTTTAATGAGTTCAAGATAAAAAGCTTTGACAGCATGTCTCTTTTTTCAGCGAGACACTGCTTTATTCAAATGCCTGTACACCATGTTTTTGCCATTAACTGCTCCAATCCAGTGCATCATTACCAGATTTGTAACAATCTGGAATCTTGATTTAGCCAGCATTTGAACTGGCCACTGTGTGGCCTTGACTGGGACATTTCTAATGTTGACTCTATTTTCTGCTGATAATTAATTAACAATTGATATCAACAATAAAAATGATGTGACATGCAATGGAAAGGACTGAGAGATGCAGAACAGGTGAGATTCCAGGACTTAGATTTTCCACCTCTCACTAATTCAGCTAATGCATTTTCTCTGTCACAGTACAGACAGTCTTCTACTGAATCTACAGTTCTAGCACCAATGATCTTTTTTCATTTGTGCACAGTAAATATTTTGGGAAGTCAGGTAACCATAACCAAGATTAAAGTCTATTGCTAGTAGTCATGAATACAAACAGAGTAACAGAGAGTTGGGATTGAGTATAGGTTGTGGATTGAAAACCAAATCGAGGACACCTGCTCTATGATCGCCTCAATTCAACACTTTTTAGACCAGACTTTTAAATCTAATCAAGATGAAAGCCTCTTTTATCTTCTGGCTAAAAGGTGCTAACAGGAAATTAATCTGGGAAACCTAGTTCCCATGGGGCTTCTGCTCATTGCACATGATTGTAAACAATATGACATCTTTTTGAGATTCTGCAAGGGTAGCTACTGCGAGAAAAGAGGCCCAAAAATGTTGTTTGGTTGCCAAATCAATTATTACTCAATTGGAAAGCAACACTGACTATCGCCTCATTTCCCTGGAGAATTCTGGAAGCTCAGTCATTGAGTATGTTCCAGATAGCCATCATAGGATTTCTAGATACTAATGACAACAAGGGGTATGGGAATGGCATTGAGGTAGATGATTGGCTGTGAACTCAAATGGCAGAGCAAGGACGAGAAGCTGAATGGCCTACTCCTACTCCTATTTCCTATGTCCTTTTCCTCTCTCTATTTTGTCTTGAAGGTACTAACTTATGTTGCAGCTGTCTCCCTTCTTCATGTGGATACTTGGACATTGAGTGTTGACAAGATATTTAACCACTGCAAGCATAAGAACTAAGCCTAATCCTGACAATGCACAAACACTTTTCAGCAGATTATTAGACTTCTAAGAAAGCTTCCCAAATGTTCCTGTTTCCACTTCATCGACAGTACTGCTGCTACCTCACTGAATTTAAAGAACTTTCCACCCTTGGAATAGTTATTTACCCATTGAGATGGGAGTTGGGGAGGATGGGGGTGGGGAGTTTACATGAAAGTTGGGACATGTGTTGTTAATTAGTAAATGCATTTTAAGCATTGTCATTAATACACTCACCGCTTTAATAACTTGATCACGCAAGTCCTTGAATTGTGGAGAAGTTTTATCTTTCAAGGTGTTATTAAAAACCTTGTTGACAATTCTGAAAGTTATATTGAAATTTGCTGTCGAGATTGACATCTTGGTGGTGGTCTTCATAGTTGTCAGCACAGTGGACACTGTGGCACGGCTTGACTGCATATCACTTGTGGTTACATATCTAGTTGTGGTGCCAGATGCTGAATTGCCACTTGGAATAGTGTTACTGAGCTGCTGAGTAGTTGAGGAGTTCAGAACAGCAGTGTTTGTCAGTGGTATGGTGCTCTGGCTGGTGGTGGCATTGGCAGGCCCTTGTGTGGTTGCAAGTGATGTCAAGGTCACTTTAGAAGCAGTAGAGTTTGGCAAAGGAGTTGGTGTTGAAATGACAGTCGTGGTCCTGGGGGGTACTACACTAATGTTTGTAGAGATTGTACTGGTCGTATTGGAAGCAACTGTAGAACTCAACAGAAAAGAGGTTGTAGACTGATTAGTCAAAATAGAACTGGTTGTCCTTTTGACTGTTGACCTGTTTTCTGTGAACATGGTGCTTGTAGTGTTTATACCAGCTGTCGTGGCAGAGAGAATTGGATGTTCTGTATTATTTGAGCTTGTGACAGACACCATTGTCCTTTCACTGGACAAAGTTGTAAAGATTCCACTAGATGTTGCAGTATTATTTGGCTGTATTGTGGATGAGACATTAACAATTGTAGTGAGGTTCATGTTTCCTGGAGTAGTAAAGGAGGTTCTAAAAGTCATGTTCATAGGGGTTGTACTTTTGGATGTACTGTTCAATGATGGGCTGGACGTTCCATTCACCGATGGGCTGGACGTACTGTTCAATGATGGAGTGGACGTACTGTTCAATGATGGAGCGGATGTACTGTTCACTGATGGGCTGGATGTACTGTTCACCAATGGGCTGGACGTACTGTTCAATGATGGAG